TTCCTTTGTTTTGTTTTATTGCTTCATTCTCATGGTTCCTCTCATGAGTTCTGATTGTTATTTACATCATGACTAATGGGAAAATATGCTTAATATGAATGTATAAGTAGAGTCTATATCAGATTGCATGCCATTTTGGAGTGGGGGGAGAAAATTTAAAACTCAAAATCTTATGGAAATGAATGTTGAAAACTAAAAATAAATTAAACTAAAAATAAATTATCAAGAAAAAAAGACCAAAAAAAGATGAAATTATAAAAGAGGCAGCTAGGTGGCACAGTATTTAGAGCTCCAACCTTGAAGTCAGGAGGACCTGAGTTCAAATCCAGCCTCAGGCACTTGACACTTACTAGCTGTATGAATTTGGGCAAGTCACTTAACCCCAATTGCTTCACCAAAAAGCAAAAAAGAGAAGAAAAGAAAAAAAGACAAAGGAGAAAATAAATGATTGGGAGTTTAGAAGAAGAGAAGAAAAAAGCAATAATGTTAAAAGAAACAAGCAAAACATTGGTCTTAAAGACAGGTTATATAGAGACAGCTGAAGCAGTATAGATCTCCCAGAAGAATATGATAGATCAAAAAAATTGAATACCATAATGCAAGAAATAATACAAGAAAACTGTTCAGAATTTCTGGACACAAAAAGCAAAAGTACCAGTCAAAAGAATTCCATATACAAACTGTCTCCAGAAAAAAAAAAAAAACCCAGACAACTCTGAGGCTTCAGACTTCAAAGTCAAAGACACATAGTGTTTAAATTAAATAATTTTGTTGACAAACAACAAATCCTGCATGTGATGAGAAAGGCCTTTTGATACAAGGAAAGGAAATTTGAATAACACTAGAGTCTTCTACAACCACCAGAAAGCACTGAAGAAAATGCAATGTGTTCAGAAAAGCAAAGGAGTTTGAGACACAGTCCAAGGTAACATAACCTGCAAAACTGAGGTTAACTATTAATGAAAAAGATAGAGCTTTAGTAAAAAAGATGTTCAGAATATTTCAAGAAAAAAAGACCTGAAAAAATTATTTGCTTTTCAGATACTCCAGACAACGGATATGCAAGAAAGGCAAACATATATGACAAACAAGGTTAACAACAACAAAATAACAGCATATTTCTTTCTAAAAATACATAAGGAGACAAGGCTGAAAGCAGAGGTCAGATAAAATTGGTGGAGATATGTAGTAAACCACACAACATCCCACTTACAGGTGAATTAGTGTGTTTTTGTTGGGGCTGGATTATATATTTTTTGTTTTTGTTTTTGGCTAGGCAGTGGGGTTAAGTGACTTGCCCAGAGTCACACAGCTACTAAGTGTTATGTGTCTGAGGCTGGATTTGAACTCAGGTCCTCCTGAATCCAGGGCCAGTGCTCTATCCAGTGTGCCACTTAGCTGCCCCATGGGGCTGGATTATAGAATGAGAAGGTACATAAAAAGGGGGAGGGGTGTGGAAGGAAGATAGGAATGTATAATGTACTCTAATCAATTGGTAGAACTTATTTGTGATTCCAAAGGCTGACAATGAAGAGAAGATATCTTCTGTAATCTCTTAGGAAGAAGAGAGCCTAGAGGACAATGGGCAAGGAAGCAAAGGGAGGGTTTGAAACGGAGAAATAAAGAGGGAAATCATGTTTCAGTGGTGGGAGGGTACCACTGATGAATACTTCCATGAGGGAAGGGAGAGATTCTGTAAAGGAATATGGGGACCTTATAGTGGGTATAATCTTTAGGGCATTTAGTGCTTAGAGAAACCGCTCATCCTGCCTCAGGAGCATCAGAAGGGGAATCAGAGCCCTTAGGATGAGCTAACACCCAGACAAGTATGAGGGAATGGACTTGAGGAGATTTCAGGGCAAATGGGAAAAAATGACCAGGGGGAGGGCAATGGTTAATACTAAATTTCACAATCAGGGAGATAGGAAAATTTCTACCATGGGGCAATACCCTCTCTTTCACTTGCAGAAATTTGTATTTCTAAGAATGAGGTATAACAGAAAAGGGGGGACAAGGGTTAAGATCTGCAAGGCAATAGTAACATAGAAACTCTTTAGAAGAGAGAACACAAAAGTAAATCAAAAACTTTAATTTTGTCAGGAATACAAAGCCTAAAAAAGGACTAAGTAAGTACAAGGCTCATGAGTCAAAGAATAAAAATCTAGAGTAGACAGAACAGGAAGATAAATAATGAAGTGAATGCGTTCAATTGGGTATGGAAATCTGTCTTACCCTACAGGAAAATAGGGGGAGAAGGGGTCAAGAGAGCAGGGGGGTGATGGAGAGGAGGGCAGATTGGGAAAGAAGGTAATCAGAAGCAAATAATTCTGAGGAGGGACAGGGTCAAAAGAAAGAATAGAATAAATGGGAGGGCAGGATAAGATTAAGGGAAATAGAGTTAGTTTTTCACAACATGTATACTAAGGAAGTGTTTTGCATAACTGCACACGTACAACCTATATTGAGTTGCTTGCCTTTTCAATGAGGGTGGGTGGGGAGGGAGGAAGGAAGAAAATTTGGAACTCAAAGTTTTAAAAACACATGTTTTAAAAAAATGTTTTCACATGCGACTGGGAAATAAGAAATACAGGAAATGGAGTACAGAAGTCTATCCTGCTCTACAGGAAAATAGAAGGGGAAGGGGATAAGAGAAGGGAGGGGGGAGAGATAGAAGAGAAGGCAGACCAGGGGAAGGAGTATTCAGAATGCATGCCATCTTGGGGTGGGGGGAGGGGTGAGAAATTTGGAACTCAAAAACTTGTGGAAGTGAATATTGAAAACTAAAAATAAATTTATATTAAAAAAATGAAAAAATAAAAAAAAATAAATGAAAAAAAATTTTAAAAAGAGAAAAAAATGATGAAGTGAATGAAGGAAAGACGTGTTTTTAGAAAAAGGTACAGAAAATGCAGTTTTAAAAACAATGAACAAAACAAGTTGAAGGAGAAGATAGCAAGAAAGATTTTACTTGACTACTTAGCTGAGAGGGGAAGAATTAATTTACTAGATAAAAAGAAGAAATTTTTTAAAAAATAAGCAAAACTCCAAAATCTAGAGAAAGGAATAACAAATGGGAGGTGCACAGCTTGAGGGTAAGGGGGAGTGAGGGGAATAGAGTTGCCTTAAAGTATATTAAGCTAGAATAACTGAGGTTTATTTGTTTACAAAGGAAGAAGACAAATTAAGAGACAAATGGACGAAAACATAAACCTAACTCATAACTTCAAATGAATTGGATTAAACAGTCTGATAAAGTGAAAAGGAATGGTAGATTGAATAAGAAAACAAAACCTGAGAATCTTTTGCTTACAAAAACAAAAGACATACACAGAATAAAATTAAGGGGCTGGAAAAGAATTTACTATTGATCAGGTGAATCCAGAAAAGTAGGAGTTGCAGTCATACTATCAGACAGCAAAAACAGACATTACAAAATAAAAAGAAATAAGGGAAATATGCAGAAAGAAACTGTAGATAACAAACCAGTATTAATATTTAACTTAACATGTTCCATATGCCTTAGCATCTAAATAAAAGAAAAATTAACAACCACAAGAAGAAAGTAATAGAGGAATGGCAGGAGATTTTAGTGTCCCTCTCTCAGTTTTGGATAAGTCTAACAGGAAGTTAAGCAAAAGAGAAAATACATAATTGAACAAATTCCTGGGGGTAGTAGAGCTAAAAGACGTATGTTTTCTTCTAAATAGGATTGCTTTTTTCAGTACCACATGGAACTTGTACAAAAATTGACCAGATAGTAAGATGCAGAGATGTTGCAAACTGATGTAAAAAGGTAGAAATAGTGAACACATCCTTTACAGACTATATTACACTAAAAAATTTTTTTAGTTCAGGGAAAAACAAAAGTTTCTGTCTTTAAGAAGCTTATATTAAGTTAATACAAAACATACGCAGATATTCAGATTGATCTGTAGTCTTATTGATTTAGATATTTCCCCTCAAAATCACAGATTGTAACTCAGCCTTCTCATATTGTACAACTCTTATCCCTGCCCTTCCATAAATTTGCCACAGGTAGGTCCACCCAACACCTCCCTTGATTTCTCCTGACATGGTAAGGTTGTTCATCTGTCACCTCTTATTTCAGTTAAGCACATCTTCTCTTCCTACCATATAGTTTGCTTGATGACATCTTTCACCCTTGTTCTTTAAGGTTCCTCATTGGCTATGTTATTTAGCCTTACACCCATCATCCATTTCCCTCTGTGTATGCTTTCAGCTCATTTTCTTTGTTAACTTATGAAACAAAGAAAAATATGAAATATATACAAAATAAATTTTTTTGGTGGGTGAAGAGCAGTAGGGATGTGGCACTTGAGCAGAGGCTTGAAAAAAGTCAAGGCTTCTGCAAAGTGGAGACAGAAAGAATATATCCTTTCAGCAAGGGGAAGTGGAATGTAATGTAAGGGATCAGCAAGAAGGCCAGTGCAGCTGGACGCACCTTGTGAGGAATCAGAAAGGACTATGATGAGGGGGAGGAGAGAATGAATAGCAAAGCCTTTTGGGGAAGGTGTGGGAGAAGGAAGAGAGGTGGAAGGGTTGCCCTCAAGAGATAACTTTTTTTTTCTATCTCACTAACATAGCCCATTTTCTGCCTGGATTAAAATTACTGCAATATAATGGGAACACATGTGTTCTTTTCCCTCTAGCGTTTTGATAGCTTTAAGCTTAGCCTTCATTGGCAATAAACATTTGGCTTCATGAAATGAAACTTTCTTAAAAATAGAGGGCCTTTCTAAATCCCAAGAACAGCTGTTCTTCGGGATCTAGGTAGACCAAATCACCCACCATGTATTGCTTTTCACTTTCTAGAATTGTGTAATTAATGATGATTTATGTGATTGGTAATGATTATAGTATTCTCTCTAATTGTTTATTCCATTTGGAGCCTTTCAAATAATGAACTATATACATTGCTGCTTTAGTTGTTTAATACCTTTAACGATTGGAGTTTTCAGTAAATTTTTTTCCCCTTTCAGAGAGAAATCAAAGCTTTGGCCTTCTCAGTTCATTGGCTGGTGCAAACTGTAACATTGGGTCAACTGAGAACCATCACACCGAAGTAAATAGTAATTCTTATTTCTCTTATCCCTTCGATCTTCCTTTTTGTTCTAGTGTTGTCACATTTTCTTTCTAAGAGAAAGGTGCCCATTTAAAAAGCAGTTTTGCCCTTAGGGCAGAAAAGCAACTAAAGAATTCAAAGGCCTAGAGATACTGCTTATAACTGTGAGAGGAGATATGAGGAAGATGTGTGTGTCACTTGTTGCCTGGAGCTCAGCTTGACCATCATTAAAGAATAAGGCAGACTTTGAAGGCTCTGCTTTATTCTTTGCTAGTGATCTTTTCCCAAATGCAGTGCTTCTTATCAACGGATCTTAGCTTTTCCAACTCGTTTACCCCTCTTTTTGTGGTGCGCTCATCTAAATTGAGCAAGCATTTATTAAGTCTCTTTTGTGTGCCAGGTCTGTGATTCAGGCCTGTGCTGGGAACATACACTTGTAGATGGGTGATTTACCAATAATTCATAATCATAGAGAGCAGCTTAGGACATTGGTCTGGATCACAGTGTGACAGACCCTGTGCTAAGTGCTAGATATACAGATACAAACATAAAACATATGCAAGCTATATGCAAAGTAAATACCAAGTAGTTTGAGGGTAAGAATCAGTCATTACCTCCTGTTGAAGAGGGATTTCAGCTGAATCTTAAGGAGAGAGCTAGGGATTCCAGGAAGTTAGCAGGAGGAGGGAGGGCATTCAAGATCTCAGGTGCAGCCTGTGCAAAGACATAGATGGGAGGGTCAGATGTCATGGGAGTGACAGCAGGTAGGCCAGTTTCACTGGGGAGAGAGTCCATGAGGGAGAGTAACATAAACAACATCTGGAAAGAAAAGTTGAAACTGTGTTTTAGAGGACTTTAAATGACAGAGGTGGTTGTACTTTGTCCTAGAGGAAAGAGGGCAGCCACTGAAGCTTTTCAAGCTGTACCTTAGGAGCATCAATTTCGCAACTGTGTTGAGAATTACAGGATCACAGTTTTAGACTGGGAAGAGAGCTTTGAAGTTCTCTGATCCAGTGCTTTTAAACTTTTGCCACTCATGACCACTTTAGCATTTCTTAAACTGTGGGTTGCCACCCCAGATGGGGTCTAGTCCAACCTCCTTATTTTTTGCAGGTGAAGAAATTAAGGCCACAGATAGTTTGGAGAAGAAGGAGGCTGGAGGCAGGAAGACCAATTAGGAGGCTATTGCAGTAGTCCAGGCAAGAGGTGGCAAGTGCTTAAACAAAGGAGGTGGCTGTGTGAGTGGAGAGAAGGAGATGCTGTAGATTTGTGGATCATCCGTCTAGAGGTGACAGTTGAAACTGATGAAAGAGGGAGAGGTTCAAAGGGGCACTAGACAAAGCCACACATAATAAGGTAGGGCATTCCAGCAAAAGAGACTGAGAAGGCTCTCGGATCAAACCTATAGGCCCTTATTGAGCACCTGCTGGGAGGAGCCACATGTAGGTGACAGAAAAGGAATGTAAGATGCAGTTGTTGCCTTCAGAGAGTTTACAGTGTGATTGGGGAGATGTCACAAAGCTTCAGTGCTAGGGCCTTACCTCTCAGATTACTTCCAACTTGCTCTGTACATGTCTTGTAGGTGTGATTTACATGTCTCCCTCATTAGAATGTGAACTCCTTGTGGCCAGAGACTGTATTTGTCTTTTTTTGTATCCCTAGCACTTAGCACAGTGCCTGGCACATAGTAAGTACTTAATAAATGCTTATTGACTTGTCTTGGCTTGACTTGAATTTCCTAGAATGTTTTTTCATTCACTTCCAATTTGATCAAGTTGTAAAAGATATTTTGAACATTTAGTGGGTCGTTTTAAAACTTGTAATTGTGTATGTGGAGATATAAAGAGTTCTAAGAGTTTTCTTTTAAAACAAACAAAAACTGTTTTTAGATTTCTACATATCTAGAATTTTTTTTTAATGGTTCCTCATGACCTGTTCACACTTGTCTAAGAAAGCCTGGGAATTAAGATGTGAATTTACCCGGATTTAATGCTGAAGTAACACATTTGTTGTTTAATTGTTACCAACAGCCTCATTTGCCTGTAGGAGATGGGACTGAATGCTGCTTTGATCATCAAGATAGCGCTTCTAACACAACTGATTCCCAGGTTGATAGCATTGTAGGTAAGTCTCTTTCTTGACTACCAAGAAACACTTTGTTTAGGTTGGTTAGTTTGGAATAGAAATAGTGCTATAAGTAACTGAAAAAGAAGTTGATTTTAAAAAGATAGAGTAGAAGAAAAATGAATTTAAGCCCCATCTATAATTATTAGAATCAGAAGAAGAGGCAACTGCTTAGCAAACATTTAGCTGCTGTTCTGTTGGTTTTCCTGGCAGGATTCTAGTATGATAAAAGAGACAGAGCCCATGTTTTGTCTAACATTTGATGAACCGGTGTGTTTCAATGTTTATTCTTTTTTCTTAAAGTCAAACTAGTAGTAATTCATGATTTTGTTTGTGATAACACACCTCTGTAGGTTTAATGCTTTGTACTTTGCAAAACTATGCCAAACTACTTCCATATCAGTTATTTAGGGTAGATGTTCTTATCAGCACTTTGAAGATGACAGAACTAAGACTCAAGAACAATGAGTGATTTGCTTAAAGTCACATTAGCATTAGATCTGATTAAACCTCAGCTGGAACACAGGTCTCCTGACACAGAGGTCTATTGCATATAAACTGTAGACTAGCAGAGCACAGTGTGAAGTCAATTATAGGTGTTCTTTAGTTAGAGGATTTCTGATGTCCCTTCTTTCCCTTTAGGCTACAGAAGTTGTGAGATACTCATGTGCTTTTGACCTAACTTTGCCCCCTTCAGATGGCTTTAACTCTTCTCTGTTAGAAGTTTAATTCTCAGTTTGCAAATGAAACAAAATATAAGCATACCTTAATCTTCCATGAGGTGTGATTCTCTGGCTACCATGGAGAACAAGTGTATAGCCACGAGAATGACGTCTTAGAACAGGCCTGCATAACCTCTGGCCCACCAAAGGATTTCTTCTGCATACAAAGAATGTTTTCCTCTGTATTTTTCGTGGGCCACTCAGAATCCTTTGGTGTGCTACAGGTGTCCCGTGGGCCACAGGTTGTGCAGGCCTGTCTTAGAGTAAGAAAATATAGTTCCCTGATTATCAGTTCTTGGAACAAAGTCCCACTTGACCCAGGCTTTCCCCGGGCAATTCCCCCTACTCTGATCACCAGTTCCTTCTGAAATTTAACCAAAATTATCCCCTGAAGTTTAAAAAACCTCCTTTCCTGACAAACACTTGATTTCCAGGAAAGCTAGAGTAGTCCAGATAGATGGAATTTAATTGGATGAGTGATTCCCTACAGATGGAGAAGTCCTCCAAATCTTCCTACTGGAATAGCTCTGGAATATTGCATTGCTTCCTAAATGAGATCTGTAATCACTTGAGTTTGGTCTAACTCTTAAAGGGAAAAAAAAATTGTAAATGTTATAAAAATTGTCCAGATATTAATCTGCAATTAGAAGGATAACTCATAGAGTTGACCTATTAGTACATATGTTTTGGACAGTAACTGCTGATAGATGATGAAAAGGGCCAGAAGTAAACAGGAAGAAGAAAATGGGTTGAATTGTATTTGGGAAATTGTACAATGCTCTCAGTGGTTACAAGTTTTTCCCTGAAACAAAGGTTCATCTCTTTAATACTAATATTTTTCCAGTAATGTACTTCCTATGAAACACTATTTATCAGCAAATCTTGAAATATCAGACTAAAAAGAATAAAAGTCGTAAGTAGCCAAGTAGCAATAGAGATTGATGTGGTAGGTGTGAATATACTATGGCATATCACTCATGAGGAGCTGGGTCAATCTGATAGCCTGAGTGAGGAATAAGATATTAACAGTCCATGTGTTCCATTGATACCTAACCACCACCACCACCACCACCACTATAGATTTATATAGCACTTCAAAGCACTGTACATATCAAATCAAATGAGATGATAAATATAATGTCAAGAGATTTAGAAGAAGGCCTCTAGCATGTTGGAAGAACATGGGCAGAAATTCCAAAGAATGGGAGGGCATAAGAGTTGCAGTCTGTACCTTTGGAGGGATTAACTCTATCAGTGAGTTTACAAGCCCATCAAATTATATATTTTTACAGATATAATCTTTTCTGATTACGTTAGAAAAAATCCAAATAGAGTTTAGGTTAAAAATGTGTTTTAATAATAAATGCAAAAGTCCATCCTAAAATAATTCAACACTTACCAATAAATAGGCATTTTATGTAGATGAGAAGCAATAGCAAAGAAGGAAAGGAGGAGTGAGGAGAGGCACTGATGAAAGAGAGAGCTTAAAAACATAAGAGCATAAATAAGAAGAGAAAGTGAAAGAACATTTGAACGGATCAGTAAAACTAAGTATGTACTAGTTCTTTGGAAAGATAATGAATGGGTGGGGTGACAGGGAGGGGGATCATTAATAAACAATCAGAAAAAGAAGAAAATTCCAATTGGCAAAATTATAGTCAAAAAAGGAAAGAGCACAACAAATTCAAAAGCAATTAAGCATGTTATTAAAAAAAACTAAACACAGCTGTATTCTACTAAGTTATGCAATGTAAAGGAAATTGTTGATTATCTATAAAAATATAAATTACCAAAATGGATATAGTACAAAATTAATTCAAATAGACCAACCTTGGAGAAAAACAACACATTACATTAAAAATGATCCTTCAAAAAAACCACCTGGATCAGGATTCGCAAGTGAATTCTTTCAAACCTTCCAAGAACAAATAATCTCTGTATTACAAAGATTACACATATATATATAGAGAAAGATGGAACACTACCCCCAGTATTTTTTATGAAAAAAATATGGTGTTAATTTTTAATCCTGGCCAAAAAAAAAATGACATTTAAAAGGAGAATTTTACACTAATTTACCTAACATGATTCAAAAATACTAATTAATGAAATATTAACTAGCAAGATATCATAGTATAGTTTTTAAAATATTCTTTATGACCCAACAGGGTTTATTCTTTGAATGCAAGACTGGTTAAACATCAGAAAAACTTCAGCATATAATAGAACATATAAATAAAAGAGCCTTCAAAGAAATTATGATTGCATCTGTGAACATGGTGGGAGTCGGGGAGAGGGCCTTTGCCAACCATCATGAAAAATCTTTTAGAATTAGGCTAAAAAATTGTGATTAAATTGCCCATATCCCCTGTCCCAGAAATTATGCTTTTAGGCATATACCTCAAGAAGTTAAAGACAAAAAGAAAGTTCCCGTATACACCTACATCTTCATAGTGGCACTTTTTCTTGGTAGAAAAAACTGGACACAAAGAAAATGCTTACCAGTTGGGGAGTAGCTGAATAAAATGGCACCTGAATGATATGGAATATACCATAAAAAATTATGGATATGAAAAATTCAGAGAAATATCAAAGATGTATATGAACTAGTACAGAGTGAAATAAGCACAGCCAGAAAAAATATATACAGTGAATGTAATGATATAAATAGAAATTGAATGCTGTACAATTACAAAGAACAAAATTAGCCTCTTGGAAAGAGAAGGAAAAATGCACTTCCCTCTTATCTTTGCAGAGGTGGGGGACTAGGGGTTTGGGATGTTGCAGTATTGTCAAACAGGATTAATGTACTGAGAAGTTTTTTTCCTCTTTTTAAAAAAAAATTGTTGCAAGAGCTATGATAGGGGAGGGTGAAGATCTATTCAGAAATAAAAGTTATGCCAAACAAAAGATATCAACAAAAATAAGAATAAAACAACAATTTTTTAAGGCCTTGGATTTTTGTCTTTGTATCCAAACCTCTCACAGGAAGCATTTCTAGATCCCCTCAGTTGTAGTGCTGTCTCTTTCCTAAAGTCACTTTTTCTTTATCTGTATATAGGTTGAATTCTCTAATTCACCATGCCATAGTACAACAAAAGCTCACTGAAGGCAAAGATTTTGGGGTTTTGTTTCTGTGTTCCTAGACTTAATAAATGCTTGTTGAATTTAATTAGATAAAACCATGCATGAGAAAAATACTAAAAAGAATAGAAATATGTTTTTTCCTTAACACAGTAAGAAATACTCACCTTAAACCAATAGCCAATATAGTATGCAACGGAGAAAGATTAAAAACATTGCTATTAAAAACAGGTACAAAATAAGGATGTATGCTTTTATTTGACATAGTATTGGAAACTTTGATAATTGCTACAAAACAGTAAAGGACGTTAAAAATGTTACTGTTTGCAGATGACATGATAGTATATTTAGAAAATCCCTCTCAACTAAAAATTAAATGGAAGTAATAAATGAGCATAGCAAGGTCACAGAATATAAGATTAACCCACATAAATCTTTCGCATTCTTATTACTAGCATTTAAGATCAATAAAACATCATGAAGAAACCCCATTTATAGTAACAATAACCCATCCAATATATGGGAATTAAACTACTTAGAAATACAGATAACTTATATAAGAACTACTGTAAAGCTATAATGATTTGGGGGGGAGGGAAGGACCTAAATAATTGGAGGAACATTCAGTGTTTATGATTGAATTAGATTAACATTATAAAAAGTGACAAAACTTCCTAAATTAATGTACATATTTTAATGCAGTGCCAATTAAAGTATGAAGTAGCATCTTCATAGAACTGGATATTATTAAATTTATTAAATTATTAAATTTATATGGAAATGCAAATGGACAATAGTTTCAAGAGATATGTTGGGGAAAATGCTGGTGAGGGTAGGTCACGAACTACTAAACTTTATAACATTATCAATTGATAATTATCAAAACCATCTAGCACTGGATAAAAATAAAATAAAGATAACAGACATCCAGTCAGATATGTGTTTTATATGTCTCATAGCTAAAACTTAACACTTATGTAGTGCTTTAAGATTTTACATTTATGGAAAATCGTCTATGAAATACCCCTTGTACAGGGATTGTGTACTATAGCCTGGAGTCAACTGACCCCCAAGGGGTCAATGGATAGGTTTCAGGGTCCATGAATTTGAATGGGAGAAAAAGTCACATCTTTACTTTCACTAATCTTTGATTTCCTCTGTAATCCTGTATATTTTATATATTTTAAAACATTCTGAGGAGTCCATAGACTTGACCAGAATACCAAAGGGGTCTGTGACACACAAAATGTTCTGAACCCCCCTGCCTCAATAGAATGTAAGCTTCTTGATAACAATGACTGGATTTCTTTTGTCATTGTTTGGCATAGAGCCTTGTATGTGGTAAGCATTTAATAAATACTTGTGGAATTGAATTAAATAATGCAAAATGGGGCAAAAAGAACCAGAACAGTTATACAAGTGTACACTATAAAAGAAATAAGGTGACTTATCCAGAGTCTCATGGTAGCAATGCCGCGGTATTCACCCCGTATTACCTGACATCAAGCCCCGTGTCATTTCCACTACAACATGCTGCCAGAAAGCAAATGATCTTAAAGCTTCAGGTGGCATATAGGTTTCATCATGGTGTACTAAGGGTAGTTATTAGGAAGAATTCTGAATACATAGAGTTCATGAGAATCAAAGGAACCAGCAGAACCTTTTCTCTGGAGATTCTAAAGATTTATTGATGTGAAAGGATTTCACTGTCTTAAGTGCCTGAAGGGAGTGTGGTGCTTTTGTTTGTTAGGAACCTTTTAGCCTTAGAATTCTGTGCGTTTACCATTTGTGAAATCTTGTATTAACATTCTCACAAACGTTACTTTTAGACCCCATGCTGGATCTGGATATTCAAGAGTTAGCCAGTCTCACTACTGGAGGAGGAAATCTGGAAAATTTTGAACGACTTTTTTCAAAGCTAAAAGAAATGAAAGGTAAACAAAAATATGTCGTGAATATCTTACTTTTATTTATAATGAATGTACTTCAATCCCAAATGGTAGCAAGTGAAATTACCACCATGTTTCAGTCTCACAGAAATATCATGTTAACTGAGTTTTGTATAAGACTATGGACCCTTGGTTTGCATTTATGTGTGTGAAATCCTAGCCTTAACATTGCACCAAGATGGCTTGAGACTTTAAATGTAAGTTAGGTCTTATAAATGTCTTTCTGCCTTGTATCATTATCTGTGCCCTTAGGGAATAGTCTATTAGCTAGCAGCTGCTATAAGCTCTTCAAAGGGGTAGGACCCTCCCAGATGTCATTCTCATGAAATTTTAACAATGGCTAAATGGACCATGATATGGTCCATTTTTTAAAGATCTCTCTTTACTTATAGTTGCTGTTAATAAAAAGGTTTTGTTATTGTATCCTTTCCCCAGAATTCACATGTTGCCTCCACCTACTTTTATATTTATTTATTTTCCTCTCAATTACATGTTAAAACAGTTTTTTAACATTTTTTTTTAAGTTTTGAATTCTAAATTCTATCCCTTCACCTCCTCCCTCAATGAGATGATAAGCAATCAGATAGAGGTTATACATGTGCAATCATATGAAACATTTCCATATTAATCATTTTGTATAAGAAGACTCAAAAAAAAAATGAAAGTGAAAAATAGCATGCTTCAGTCTATTCCCCTATGCTGTAAAAGTGCTTTCACATCTCTTCTATGTGAGATAATTTACCCCATTCTGCCTCTCCCTTCTCTTAGTGCATTCCTCTTTCTTCCCTCTTAATTTTATTTTTTCAGGTATCATTCCATTATAGTCAGCTCACACCCATATTCTCTATGTACATACTTTCCAACTGCTCTAATAATGATGAAGTTGTTAGTGTTACAAGTATCATCTTCCCATAAAGTAATGTAAACAATTTAGCCTTATTGAATCCCTTATGATTTCCCTTTCCTGTTTACCTTTTTATGCTTCTCTTGAGTCTTGTATTTGAAAGTCAGATTTTTCTCTTCAGCTCTGGTCTTTTCATTAGGAATGCTTGAATGTCCTCAAATTTCATTAAATATCCATTTTCTCCTCTGAAGGATTATTACTCAGTAGCTCCTTTGACCTCTAGAATATTATATTCTAAGCCCTCCATTTATTTAATGTAGAAGCTGCTAAATCTTCTGCTATCCTGACTGTGGCTGTATGATATTTGAATTGTTTCTTTCTGGCTGCTTGCAACATTTTCTCCTAGCCTGGTAGCTCTGGAATTTGACTATAATATTCCTAGGAATTTTCATTTTGGGATCTCTTTTTAGTCGCTGATTGATGGATTCTTTCAATTTCTTTTACCCTCTGGTTCTAGGATATCAGGGCAGTTTTTCTTAATAATTTCTTGAAATATGAGGCTTAGGCTTGTTTTTTTTTTCTTTTGGTCATAGATTTCAGGTAGTCCAATAATTCTTAAATTATCTTTCCTTGCTTTATTTTCCAGGTCACTTGTTTTATCAGTAAGAGTATTTCACATTTTCTTATATTTTTTCATTCTTTTGATTTTACTGTTTCTTGCTATCTCATGGAGTCATTGGCTTCTACTTGCCCAATTCTAATTTTTGAGGAATTATTTTCTTCCACGTGCTTTTGTATTCCCTTTTCCATTTGGCCAGTTTTACTTTTTAAGGAATTCTTTTCTTCAGTTAATTTTTGTACATCTTCCATTTAGCCAATTCTGCTTTTCTTTTTTTTTTTTAAGTTAGGCAGTGGGGTTAAGTGACTTGCCCAGGGTCACACAGCTCAATTCTGCTTTTTAAAGAGTTCTTCTCTTCAGTGGATTTTTGTGCCTTCTTTACCAAGTTGTTAACTCTTTTTTCATGATTTTCTTGCATCACTCTAATTTCATTTCTCATTTTTCCTCTACCTCTCTTATTTGGCTTTTAAAATTCTTTTTGAATTCTTCCAGTAATTCTGTTTGGGTCTAAGACCAACTTACATTTTTCTTTGAGGCTTTGGATATAGCTGCTTTAATTTTGTTGTCTTCTTCTGAGTTTATGTTTTGGCCTTCCCTGTCACCAGAGTAACTTTGTGTGGTCAGATTCTTTTTTTGCTGTTTGCTCATTTTTCCAGCCCATTTCTTCACTTTTAACTTTATGTTAAAGTTGGGCTCTAAGTGGACGGGGGCACTGTCCCAAGCTTCGGGGTGTGTGTGTGTGTGTGTGTGTGTGTGTGTGTGTGTGTGTGTGTGTGTGTGTGTGTGTGTGTGTGTGTATGTGTGTTGATAGTTCTGGGGGTCTGTAAGTTTTTAATTCTTCCAGGGTGGTATGATCTAAGGAGAGATGAGGTCATTGCTCTCCTGGCCTGTGGACTGTGAAAACTCTTTTCTACCCTGGAACTGTGACTAGAGTCCCCACTACCCTGTGGCCACATACAGTAGTGTGATAGTGTTTCTTCTCATCCTGGGACTACAACCTGGAACCATATAAGGGTGGTACAACAGAGTCTTGCACTTAGTGCCATCAAAAGGTCCCCTTTAATCTTCTGACCATTTGTCCAACATCCTTAGCATCTGTAGGCTGACAACTCCTGAAGCCACAGCTACTCGATTCCTGGATTGTAGAGATCTCCTTTTTGGTGGCAACATTCCTGACCACATGGAAGTGGTCCATGATGTCATGTGCCAAAGAGAAGTCAAAGAGAATAAGCCTGGGGAAAAAAGATGCTTGGACTTAGCAATAAAGAGGTCATTTGTGACCTTCAGAAGAGCTGTTTCAGGAGAAGAATGGGGAAGGGAGCCAGCTGGGAGGGGCCTGAGAAGTAAATGAAGGCAGCCAGGTTCGTAGGCATTTGCAGTAAAGGTGAGGAGAGAAATGCCAATATAGCTTGCATTCAAAGTCAAAGAAAGGTTCTGAGGAGTATAGAGCCCAGAGAAGATTTGAGCATGTCTTTAGGGGAAGGGTGTGGTAGAGGGAGAAATTAAAGATGCGTGAGAGAGGATGATTGATGGAACAAAAGCATGGAAAGGATGATATTTGATTGAGGGTACAGGTAGAGTTTACATGTAGAAGAAGAGAGGGCCACCTCCTTCTCTGAGACTGGAGGGAAAGGTAGGATAAAGGGAAAAACTTAGCAACTTAGACTTAAGGGATGGAAGAGAAGAACTGAGTAGAGTTCATGCTTGTGTGGCCTCAGTCTTCTCAGTAAAGCAGTAGTTTGTGAATGAGTGGAAATCCTAATAAATAAACAAAGTAAGATTTCTGTTGCATGGAGCTAATATCTCTATCCCTTCTCTTTTTTTTTCCTCTCTCTTCCCTCACCCCTACCCCCCCAATATACACACACATTCTTATTAAAAGTGAATGAATAAGATATCTCCATCATTATAATCTGGAAAACCTAGAGGATTCAGAGTTCCTAACTTTAATGATTGCACCACAAACACAACTTAGAAAGTGGCCTTATATCATCTGAGGTTAGAACTTCACAGCTGGAGGCAGCTAGGTGGCATGATAGAGCACTGGCCCTGGATTCAGGAGGACCTGAGTTCAAATCCAGCCTCAGACACATAACACTTAACTAGCTGTGTGACCCTGGGCAAGTCACTTAATCCCATTGCCTAACCAAAAAAAAAAAAAAAAGAACTTCACAGCTTCAGGCTGTTATATGTGCTGTTATATGAACTTTTGAACTTCTGTTTCTCCCTAGACAAAGCAGCAACTTTGCCTCATGAACAAAGAAAGTTGCATGCAGAAAAGGTAAGATCAAACAGCTGTTTATTAAAGCTGTGCTGGGTGTTAGGATAATAATTAAGTTATATGTCTGCTTCCTTAATAGAGGAAAAGTTCTGTTTGCAGATTTTGCAGATCAATTAAGAACTTAGTCATTACTTACACAGCATGAAAGCATTTGTTACAATAGTCAAATCAGTCTTCAAATATGTATAGTTTCTTTGAACTTAAGTGAGTCCCAATCTAGCTTGAACAGTTATAAGTATAATGTTGGAATTTTAGGTTCGTATGTAGGATGAGCCATATGTCAATCACAGATTTAGAGCTAAAAATGGACCTTAAAAGTCATTGAGTCCAGCTCTCTCATTTTGCTGTTGAGGAAACTGAGGCCCAGAGAAGTAACGTGACTTGCCTTAAATCGTGCAGCCAGTAATTGGCAGAGCTGAGGATTAGATCGAAAGCTTCTGACTCTAAATGCTTTGCCTTTTCTACCCTGTCACACTGCCTCCCAATAAGGAAGGGGCTTTTTCAGGGTCACACAATAAAGCAGCAGAACTGGGATTCAGACTCAAATCCTTTGACTTTAGATTTACTGAGCTTTCCCTGTACCAAAGTCTCATATACTTTTGAAGTATTCACATATGGATGGCATGGGTTTAGCTGTTATCTGTAATTTTATAAACTTTTGTCCACAGGTGGCCAAAGCATTTTGGATGGCAATTGGTGGAGACAGAGATGAGATTGAAGGCATTTCTTCTGATGAAGAAAACTGAGCTTCTTGTGTCTGGTTAGCCAAGATGGTAACAACACACTTTAGTTGTGTTAAGGGATGTCAGGAACATGGGACACTGCAGGGGTGGGAGAAGACAGACACAGGTGTTACCTATGTCTAGTCAAAAAAAGTTCCTCCCCATCCTTGCTGTTGGGGAGCAGTGGAGATGGAGCAGGTGATTGCAATTCCTTGGGGGACATTTAGGGTTATCAGGAAGTAGCCAAAGCACTGTTGCAGTTGTTCGGTCACCTGGGGCCTTCCCTCCAAGACACCTTCCTTGGACATGGAAACCCAGAAAGGCAAGCTTAGCTGTGGCCAGGATTCAGGTACTTCCTACTAGACAAACTGTGTGGTCTTATGGCTCTCATTATTTCTCATACCATACTGATCTATACGATTGGGGAAGCTGGGAGGGCCCAGTGCCACGAGCTCTACCCCTAAGAATACAACCCACATGCCACAATGACCGAGGAGGAAGGAGCAAGCCATGTAAGCCCCTCCCTTCTGTGGCTCAAGGTCTCAGCCTCCCACTAACTCTCAGGCTGTTGCCAGACTTCCCTCCTCTCACTTTTCATGCACGCATTACAGCTGCCTTTGCTTTGACATTCCTGCACTCACCACACCCAGGCTGGTTTCCAACTACCTTCAAGCCACATATACTTGTGTTCTGTCTACTTACTGAGCCCTTCCCATTCCCCATGGAATTGCAATCACTCCTTCCTATCCACTCCTAGGGTGGTGAGGAGTAGAGGAGAAACCATCCCATACAAAGGACAGCTGTGTCTGTCTTTCCCTCTTGGCTCCACAGCAGCCGAAGCCCTGACGCTTCCTGGATGGACCCTGTTTTGTTTTGCTGAGATTCCCATCATCATGTTGACCATCTAGCCAGTATAATAGTAACTTACAGAAGGCTCCTCTCCCTCAGAGTCTATTATAAGGGAATGAAGAGTATGACAATTAGAAGTGGGCTTCCTCCAGATTTACTTTTTGCTCTAGAGGAGTGGGAATTAGCTGCAGAAGCTCTTGCCCATGTAAATGAGTCAAGCCACCGTGGGCTATCCATTCTGTCATGGCAACAATCCCTGTATTTCTGTTTGGTTGCCATTGCTCTTGAGTTTATACCATCATTCCCAGGACTTTATCTCCTCTCACTTTCTCAGCTAATTTTCAAGAACCAAGCTTACCTGATCCCATGATGTCTGTCTTTTGCGAGGTGAGAAAAGAAAGGAGACCTCGTGTTACATTGGTAATTAAATGTATAGCAGCTCTGACCTAAGTGGCACACGGTTTAATCTGTAACTGCAAATTTGCAGAAATGTCTGTGGACTCTGCCTTTTCCAGGTTTCACTCCTCCTAACTAAGCTCATGCCAGAAGACTATCTTGGACAGAGTTGGTTTTGTTATTGCAGAACACGAGCAGCTTCATTAAATGTCCAAGGAAGGAATAGCCTTCACTGCTGTTGTGTTTGTGAGAGAGAGAGAGAGAGAGACAGCTTTCTGAAGTTTCTGAGTGGTATTTTAAAGAGCATGGGAGCAATATAATTAATGTAGCTGCCCCAGTATCGTCAGAAAGATAAAATGGAATAACAAGAAGTATTTTAGTATTTCCCCACTAAGATCGTCTCCCTCTACTGATGATCCCCTAAGTAATGTTGTCACCCCATATATGCTTACAGATAAGTGAGGCATCCCATTCTTTCTGGCTCTGAACCAAACCAAGATGTAGAGGAGTGACAATGGATGGTATAGAGGAGTTAGTGTTAGGAAACTTAATTTACAACAAATTCATAAGCACTGTGACTGCAGGGCCTTGACATTTCTTATGAACCTGCCATAAATAGCAGCTGTGAGTGCCCTTGTGGTTTTTATCTTGTGAAAAAGGTCAGTATGCATCTTTGAATGGAACGGTACTGAGGGGAAATCTCCCAAAGAAATAGCAGAGAGAGTTTGTGAAAATAATTTTTTAAAAGGCTGCTTTTGTGAGTTACTTATGATCAGCATGGGAGAGTAGTGGATCTCACAGGCTACAAGCTGGACTTAAAAGGAGTAGAGGTTTGCTGGTGGTGGTTGCCCAGGTTGCAGGTCCAGGCCTGAGACAATTCCAGAGGTGAAAACAACCTTCCTAGAGGAAGCCTAGGCTTGATCACACACAGGAGCCAAGTCTGACCCTCACACAATCTCTTACACATTCTACAGAAACTGAAATGAGGGAGCCGTAAAAACATGATAATTGCAGCATACAAGACTGTCCTGCAGCAGCACTCTCCCCAAAGTGAACTGCCAACCACAGAAGAGACTGTGACACTCTTGGCGTTTCTTTTAAGATAATTTTGTTAGCCGTTCTATTAAGAACATTGATGAAGTCCAGCATGAAGATGGGAGAGGAAGTTGGAGAATTTTTTTGCCTTACCATGACAAAGGGCATTAGGGAAACAGGTCACATGTATTGGGGAAAACAGATTGAAAAAAGCTGTGAACTTGATTTTATAAATTAAATATGGCTGGATTGATTAGAACGACTGTTTTGCAGTTTGTTAATGTGTATTAGGTGCTTTGGGGTGGGGGGCTTATGTCGTCACTTTACACTTGATGCTGAAGCATTGCTCAAAATGGACATTTTTATAAGGCAATAATAAGAACACACATGGATTTGCCAAGACCTCAAACATCAGAGGAAGTTTGGCTCCCTTCAGGGTATCCTGAGGACTGGTAACTTACTCAAGACCCTTGGCAACAACCAGGTGAAGAAGTTTGTGTCCCCATTACCACTGACAGTTTCAAATTGCAGTCGACATGTCCACATGACTTTTGCCAAATACAATTCATCAGTGATCTTAAAGTAAAAGACCCAACTCAAGGTTCAAGTTTGATGGCCTTGGTTGGAAAAATGAGGGTAGATAGTGTTTGGGGAGACAAGGGGAATCACGTAGATTTTGAACCTTTACACTAACTGAGAAAGCCAAGGTTTATAATAATTTGGAGTTAATGCAACTACACACACACACACACACACACATTTATTTGTATTTTGGAACTCTCACTTGGGATGTAAGAAGATTGACACCACCATTCTGCTTTCTTACTATTTATAGATTTAGATGATTAAGTTACATGGAATGTAGTTCAAAGGCCTAAGCATACACTCGGTTTGTAATATTCAAAATGTACATAAGGAACACTCCATGTTCTGTCTGGAAAGAATAAAGAACTGAAAGCAATATTTTGCAGTGATTTGATTGTCTTTAATATATCACTTTATGCCCACTTCTTTAAGTGAAAAGAAAAAAAAAAAAGAAATGAAGGGCCCTTCTGCTTTGTTCTCCTTATGGAAAAAGGGCTTGTAAAAACTATTGTAGTACATGAAAGCACCATGGTCCATTCTGAACTTTAATGTCCACTGACATGGAGCTACAATTTGGAGACAGTTCACCGAAGTTGAGCGGCGGCACATTCTGGTTAATGAAGACTTTTACCGGAAACCTTATTGTATAGTTTCCAGTTCTTTGAAGGATTGTCATATGATTAAGTAAATAGAGGACAACCAGCTAAGCTGAGAAGGCAACATGGCTTACTTGAAGAAAGAGAATACAAAGAGAAGGTCAGCAGCCTTATATACTAGTTCTCCCATTTGCTAGCTTTGTGACTGTGGGCAAATCAAAAGGAAAGGAAGTGTGGTACGGTGGAAGGAAACATGTAAAAGTTGAGACTTGGGTTCAAATTCTGGCTCATTCCATAAACTGCTTATGTGATCTTGGGCCAATCGCTTACCTTTTCTGGGCCTCAGTTTCTTAAGCAGTGAAATAGGGTTAGAGTGACCTCAAAGGTGCCTTCTATCTCTGAATCTCTGATCCTGTGATCTTAAATGTCTGTGATTTAGTGGCAAGAGCAACCCTGTAATAATGGTGGCTAAAAACAATCTGAAGCTTTCTTAGATTATGTTTTAAAAAACAGAGTGTTTAGTAAAAGGAAGATCCTTTGTACTTGTACAGATGCCACACTTTGGGAGAAATTGATGAATTGAACATATCCACAACTGGGTGATAAGGATGAAGGACTTGAACCATATTACATGAGAAGTAACTGGGGTATTTTGCCAGGAGAAGAGAAGGTTTAAGGCAGACATAACTGTGTTCAAATATGTAAGGTTTCTCATATGGGGAGGGGAGGTTGGATTTATTCTGTATATGGCAGAAATTATAGAGAGAAAGAATGAGAAAGAATCTTGAATATTAATAAAAGTATTGTTAACAATTGGAGTTGTTTTTTAAAAATGGATTTTTGAAAAGCAACTTCCAGCAGCAGTATTGGCATTAGTAAATGCTTAACCCAATCTTATTTACTTTCTATTCCTAAGACTTATGTACACAGTAATGACTGTACGGCAATGTAATATCCTGCAGAGATCATCTATTCCAAGCCCTTTGGAATAAGGAAATTGAAGCCTATAGAGGTTGTAACTTATCCAGGATCATGCACCTTGTATTTAGTAACAAGAGTCAGAATCAGAACTTTGGGCCTTTGACTCCAAATCCAGTGTTCATTTCCAGAATCTTTACTCTTTCGAAAATTGGGAAATTTGACCTTCTCCAGCCTTCTGTGATTCATCATCTTCCATGATTTTCCTAGGGTCATTGATAGAGGTTCAGTAGTGATACCTACAGATTCCTTCACTGCCCTATCTAATTCTGTCACTAATTTTATCCTTATCTAATTCTGATTCTAATTTCTACCCTAACTAACTATCTAATTCATCTGGTTCAGGAAATTCAGTCATTTGAATTACTGAAGTAATTTTTTTTCACCTCACTTATCTTGGCCTTTATTCTTCTGTAATTATTTCTTTTGTCCTTTACAGTTTATAGTTTGTTCTCCTTAATAGACAAGACTCAAGCAAAATAGTTGTTGAGATTATTAGAATAGTGTTTACTATGTGCCACGCCCTGTTCTAAGTGCTAGGGATACAAATACAAGCCAAGTAAGACAGTCCCTAATGATGATAGAGATGAGCTAGTCCAAGATCTTCATTTTACAGGTGAGGAGAGAGATCTAAGCAGATTAAGTGATTTATTCACATTTACATAAGCTAGGATTTGAACCCATGTCATCTGATTATGAATCTAGGGCAATATTAATTCTGCTGTCTGTTATAATGTCATCTGACTCTAGTACTAGGCCTTTTCTTTTTGTTCCAAACATCTTTAAAAATCATTTACATTTTTTAAAGGATTGTTGATCTAGAGTTGGAAGGGATCATAGTGGCCTTGATCAAGTTCAGACTTGTCATGAGGAAACTACTGAAATCCAGGGAAATTAAGCGACTTGCCCAACTTCATAAAAGGAAGGTCAGAGGTGGGATTTGAACCTAGGTCCTCCGACTCTGTAGGTCTGACCATGTCATCCCCTTACTCAGTAAACTCTAGTGGCTCCTTGTTACCTGCAGGATCAAAATAAAATGTAGTATTTGGCTTTTAAGAAGTCCAATAATTTAAAAATTATCTCTCTTAGATCTATTTTGCAGGTCAGTTGTTCTTCCAGTGAGATATTTCACATTGTTTTCTATTTTTTCATTCTTTTGGTTTTGTTTTATAATTTCTTGATTTCTCATAAAGTCACTAGCTTCCATTTGCTCAGATTTTTAAGTGAGTTTTTGGACTTCCTTTTCCATTTGGCCAATTTTGCTTTTTTAAGGCATTCTTCTCCTCATTGGCTTTTTGGACCTCTTTTGCCATTTGGGTCAGGCTATTTTTTAAGGTGTTATTTTCTTCAGTATTTTGGGGGGTCTCCTTTGGCAAGCTGTTGACTTGTTTTTCATGCTTTTCTTGCATTACTCTTATTTCTCTGCTCAGTTTTTCCTCTACTTCTCTTACTTCTCAGAATCCTTTTTGAGCTCTTCATGGCCTGGGGCCAATTCGTATTTTTCTTGGAAACTTTGGATGTAGGAGCTTTGACTTTGTTGCTTCTTCTGGTTGTGTGTTTTGATCTTCTCTGTCACCAAAGTAAGATTCTGTGGTCTGAGGTTTGGCTTTTTTTTTTTTTGGCGCTGTTTGCTCATGTTCCTAGCCACTTACTTGAGTTCTAAACTCTGTAAGGTAGGGGTCTGTTTCCAGTGGAGAGATGTACTGTCCCAAGCTTTGGGGGTTTTATGCAGCTGTTCTAAGGGATACTTCTAGGGACTCGTAAATTTTCAGTTCTTCCAAGGCGGTATGATCAGAGGCGAGGTGTTTACTCCTTTCCTGGCCTGTAATTGACCGCAAGCACTCTTTTCTGCCTTGGAACGATGAGAGGTATTCTCTCTTCACTGCTACCACAAGCTCCACGGCGCCAGTGCTCCTTCTCACCCCAGGAGTGCCACCCAGAACTGCGACTCAGATCCAAGCATGGGCAAAGCACCAACCAAGAGATTCCTGCAATCCCCCTCCATCTGTGGGCTGAGCGCTCCAGAAGCAGCCACTGTGCCGGGACTAGGGCCAGACCAAGCTCCTCTCTCACTGAGGTCCAACAGACCTTTCCCACTGACCTTCTAAGTTGTCTTTGGCATTCGTGGGTTGAGAAGTATGGAAACCACCACAGCTCCCCTTGATTCAGTCCCCTTAGGCCTGCTCCAGGTTCACTAAGGCCCTGTTTTTACTGTGTGGCCCATGCTGAACTGCATTTCTCTCCCAGCCCGGTGCAACAGACCTTTCCAGTCAACCATCCAGGTTGTCTTGGGCTGGAAATTTGTTTCACTCTGATTTTTTGTGGGTTCTGCTGCTCTGGAATTTGTTTAGAGCCATTATTTACAGGTGTTTGGGGGAGAGTTCAAGCAGGTCACTGGTCTTTCTCTGCCATCTTGGCTCCACCCTGCTATTTGGCTTTTAAAGTGCTTCATAGGAGCAGCTAGGTGGCACAGTGGGTAGAGCACCAGCCCTGCAGTGAGGAGGACCTGAGTTCAAGTCTAGCTTCAGACACATAACACTTACTCACTAGCTGTGTGACTCTGGGCAAGTCACTTAACCCAAATTGCCTCACCAAGAAAAACAAAAGTGTTTCATAACAAACATGGCCCCTTCCTTTCTAGTCTTCTTATGCTTCTGCTTCCCTGGATGTCATCTGCAGTCCAGTGATACTAGCTTCTTTACTGTTCTTTACACAGCATTCCATCTCCTGACTCTTCATTTTCACTGGCTGTCTCCCTTGTCTCCATTTCTGGGCTTCCCCTAACTTCATATCTCAACTAAAATTCTCACCCGTAAGGACCCTTTCCTGCTTCCTTATTGTTAATACCTTCCCTGGATGATTCTTCCATCTATCCTGCATGCTTCTTGCATATACGTAGCTTTCATTTTGTCACTTCCATTAGGATGTGAGCTCCTTGAAGGCAGAGAATGTTTGCCTTTCTTTGTATACCTAATGCTTACAGGTTCATCCCATTCTTTTTTGTGTCCTTGTGCTGTTTTGTACACAATCTTTTCAGTTATGAGCACATTGGATAGTTCCCTATGAAGCCACATCAGTCTCTTTAAATGTTTCCCTTTTCCTCTCATCAGGATCATTTGTGGTTGTTTTGTTATTTTGCTTTTGAGAGTTTCCCATCCCTCTTTAATTATCTTACCTTTTAGAGTGTACTCATAGAATCATGCCTAGCATTTCCCTAAAGATTCCTGAAATCTAGTTTTCTAAATTTTAGGAGAGGTGCTAATGATACCCAGCATTTACTTGCTCATTTACCCTTCTTGGTAAGATGACATGGCCATATTCTCCTAAGGCTTTCATTCCTTTCACTTCACCACCTCTTTGTTGATCAGAACTAATTCCATAATATCACTAATTTCCTGATACAACTTTGTAAAAAATGAAACTTTGAGCAAGTCTTGAGGAGTTTCTCATAGTCAGCTCTTGAACACTACCTTGTTATTGTTTATCCATCTGGACCTTCAAATTTGGGCATTTACCCAAGGTTGTGTGTGTAATGCATCTGTTTTATTCTTTGTACTCTTCTGATGTTTCTCAGTTTTAAGGAATGGATAATTAAAGTAGGAAGTAGGAGTTGACTAGCATAGTAGTAATGCCACATCTCAGTTCCAGACATTAATGATTTATAATGCTACCTGGTTTTCTTTTTGGAAAAGCAGAGATTCCAAATCTGGACTTAGTTGTTATTAAAGCAGCCTTGGAATACAAACATGGGGAAAACAAAACAAACCAAAAACAAATCTAAAAACCCCATTTTCTCCCCTGTCATTTTTGGCTTCCTATCTCCCTTCAAACCCAAACAATTTCTCTCTTACCCCTTTAAAAAAAGGTGAAACATTTACAGGCCAATTAAAGGTATACCTAGCAGTAAATATATTTGGCAAGAGACTCTAAAAATCTAACAAGCAAATTCTCCCAGTTTGGTATCTCCCCATATGCTCCCTTGCCCATGAGATCTTCTTGGCCTTTGGTCTCTTTCTGCCATCCATTCCTCATTGATCAAGTGGCCATGATGCTTTATTATGAAGGAAAGTACAATTAAGCCTAGGCATTAATGTATAGTGAACACTGGCACTTCATTTCAAAGAATATTTTCATCAGGATATTATGATTATGGATGAGAATCAATAGCATCTTGGTCTTCTGTGACTGGCCTGATGGTTATAAGGCTTCACATCCAGGTAACAGAATATCAAATCAATTAAAGCTGTTAAAAAAAAGACTACTTGGTGTCTAGTTTAAGTTCTTCCCCCCTCCAAGTCACCAAGATCTAAAGCAGGAGGTATCACTCATCATTCAACGAAGCTCCTGAACTGAGATGTAAAAAAGAATTGTTCAAATATCTCTTTCCCACTCTTATTCTTTGAAAAACACTTCCCCCCACCCACCCAAAAACAACAACTCTGAACTAAGGAATTCTTGTTCTGTACTCTCTTGGGATAATCTAAAAACCATCAACAGAAAAAGAGTTTAAAATTCCAGCTCTAGTCCTTTGAGTTCAAAGTCAAACATTGGAGGAGCCAAGGGATTCATGCAATATTTTGTAGACTAAGGTCCCATCCAGTTATATCATTCTATAAGCCAACAAAAGGTGGTAACCAACACCAAAAGGTGTTGGGAATCTGTTTGGTGAGTTATTTATAATGCTATAAATGAATTTCTAGACGTAGTTCCCAAATAATTGGGTTTTTGCGTACTAGAGACATATCAAAGCACCCTACCACAGACCCAGTCGGGTTTGTCAGAGTTGAGCAAACCAAAGAAGGGAAACACAATAGGTGCTGACAGTCCAATCTAATTCCTGTGAAAAACTCCATCTCTGCCCTTCACTGGAAGGTGTGCCTATTAGAAGTTTTCTGTTCTCGGTTCATCAATGCTGAGGTGAGCAGGGGTCTTCCTCGTTGTTTAAAGAATGGGAATGGAAAAATCAGGCTATCATGTAAATAGCCACCAACCAGATGCCAGGCATTTCTCCCCTTAGTATATAAACGTTTGCTGCAGATACTACACACAAGTGTATGACCGGATGGGACTAGGTATATCTTCACTGCTGTTAAGTTTCCCCTTCTGTTTCTCCATAATACTAGAGCACCTATGATTTGGGGCAGCTACTTTAAAATACTTTCTAGTCAGAGATACGGGCTCACAAAAGAATGTCTCAACAGATCAATTTTTTTAATTAACAGTTTATTAGAATGACAATTAACAGTTTCATATCATAGAGGGGGGAGAAGGCATACAGATCTTTAACAATAGAGGTACTATGCTGAACAAGCAGGTGCTCTTTTCATAAGAATAAAAAAGTTAGAAAAAAAACTCTAAAACACTAAGTACATGCATGCTCTTACATAGCTATTAAAAGGCCAGGCTTGGTTGAGAAGTAAAGGTAACGAACGCACACGGCCAGCCCCCTGCCCCTCCAAAGAGTCAATCATAACTTGGATGTGACAGTGAAGTGGGTGAAGACTAATCATGTTGGCCATCTCCAACCACACACTGATAAAAGGCTTACGATATCCCTTCAACATGAAGGTGGCACAAATCATTGGGATACTTTGAACCTCCTTCCTCCCAGAAGGCTCAGTGCAGAGGAACCCATCTAGAACAATGGCCACCGTCCTTTACTTGGGCCAGACTCCTACCCATTCTTATTTACAGCTATCAGTATCCAAGCCTATAGAGGAGGCTTTCGGGGGCACCTGGTATGAACCACCAGACCATGGAACCAAGGCTCAGGAGTGTCTATGCTCCCAGATTTTCCATAACCACTACTCTCTTGGTAGGAAGGCCTTTTTAATTCTCTCCAGAAATTAAATAGTTATGATCCATCTGAGTGTTCTAAGAAGTTACTACATAAATATGAAAATACTGATATGCTAGAGTACACTTCACTTTATCATACAAAAAGAAAAATTAATTACTAATCACTGAGAATTTTGCAATCCAGTTTAGATCATGACAGGTCTACCTTCACCTGATTGATAGGATTTGATTCCCAGACAACTTTTCAGAAACACATTTTCTCCACTGATTTCATTCTCAATTCAGTGATACTTATCTACATTGTTCTGTAATTGGCAGGAGCCCCCTAACAATAATATTTCCTTCCTTCTGGCCCCTTCCCCCAGAACAAGTAGTTAAGATCCTTAAAACATTTCACAGGAGCACAGATTTCTGAGCTTCAAGGGACTTGAGAAGCCATTGAGTCCAACCTAATGTGCAGATGAGAAATCATCATGCAATGAACGGCCTTATTTCTGTATTGTGTTTGAATTTTCCTTTTCTAAATTGGGAACTCAAATATTTTGATATTCTCCTTTCTCAGCCTGTCTCTCCTCTCCTCTATCTACCCAAGTTCATTTTGAAGTCAAACTGCAACTTTGGAACCATTTTTATGATGGAACTAGAGTCAAAATATATGCTGCCTCTGGGCATTGAAATAGCTCCATGCTCATTTTGGGGTTCCTTCCCATATCTCTCAGTTCCTTTGATCTCAGCCTTGTTATTCATGGGAAGAAAAGTATAGCCCTTTTAGGAACTCTGTAAGGAGGAAGTAGACTGGCCTATTACAGATGATAGCCCTGAAAAGACAGTGATCCATCAAAGATCCTCATAAATGGCACCTCATATTGCCGAAGCTAAGAATGAAGTCAGATGTTTGCATCCTTAGCAGAATGACATGCACACTGTTGGGGGGGGGAGGGAAGGAAGGGGATTGTGGGGCACAAAGTAAATGTACATGGGACTAGAAAATAGCCAAACACCAGAAAAGTGGAGTGGGGCACAGTGGCATGAATAACAATACACACTACAATTCAATTTATTAACAATAATTTTTAAAATTCAATTAAAAAAACAGTATACACACAAGGACAACTGTAAAGTCTGCCAGCAGCCCTGCCCTCATGTGTTATTAACTCCTATTATAAGGAGGATCAAAATATCTGTCACTGACTAGAGAGTTGTAGCAAAAAAATGTCTGCTCTCCTATGAAGCCTGCCAAGAGGACAGCCAATTGAGATGATAAATCCAGTACAGGCCTGTAATAGAAAACAGGCTGGGCCATCTACCTACATGTGTGTGGTACATGTATCTTAAGTTATAAGCTATAGTTGTAATAGATTGGAAGGGAGTGAAGGGTGGGGAGGAAAAAGTCTTTGGAGATACTGACTACAACAGTCTATGGCCCACTGCCCCTTTAATTAGTGTCAATATAAACTGCAGAATCATGACATTTGTACATTGAGAATATTGTAGGGGAACACCATCCTTTAAAATGTTACCTGTACCAAATACACGTAAAACTGTGCAACACAATATATCCAACTGTTAAAAGTCCCCAAACTGTATTCTTTCCTCAGCTCCATCAATTGTTCTTTTTAAAAAAAATCCAAAATGTGCAAAAGTCATTCACACATCAGATATTCAATTTGGGAAAACTTTTTTGTCAACTGAAGAAGCTTAAATAAGAATGAATACAAGTGTCATAATCCCGAGGACATCCTTTATTTCTAATGATAACTGCTTCCCAATCTACATTTTTGTAATTAAATTGATTTTAGAGATGATGCTCAAGTTTCCCCTCTATAGTCTAATCTTAAAAAGGGGGGAAATAACTTGGAACAGTTTAAAAAAAAAGGCAAAACATTTTATACTATTCAGAAGGAGTTGCCATTTGGGTTAAAATTAATCTACAAATAGCCCATGGCTTTAAGGTTTTACATTCTACAGATAGCTCCCCAAATTACTGTTTGGACATTTTCCGTAAGTGAGCTGTGTCTAAGGGCACACATGAGCTGAGAAGGTAGAGGATAGCTGTGCAAATAGGAACTAGAGCAACAAGTGGGTCACAGGCACCTCCCTGCTAGGACAGAATAGCAGCTGAAGAATGCCAAGGCTAAGGAACTACATGTGGCTTTTGAAAAGCATCATGGAAGCTCTGCTAGAAAATGAAATGAACAGGACATGCCACTAATCTCATGTCACAAACACGAAGCACAAACACAGATACCTAAGTGGCTTCCTGAATTGGTCAGAAAGCTGGCTTTCTCATTTCTTTGTCAGGCATGAACCCTGATACTCTGTAGTGCCTAATTCTCTCCAATGAAGCCACTGGATTCTATCTGCTCTGGGTACCAATACAGAAGAACCTCTTCAAGATGACGCCCAGATCTTGTTAAAAGCTCCTTTATCACCAATCCTCCTAAGCCCTTTGGGGTCTATGGAACTCGTGCATGGAGCTGGGAACTCATCCACTGTTGGAACCCTGTTCCCAAAGCACCCTGGACACCTAACATTAAAAAACGGCACATCTGAGGTTTTTGCTTAGCAGAAATAGAGATTTCTCCACCCACACATCCTCACCTGCCTAAATAAAGAAGGATTTCCATAGGAAATCTTTTTTTTTTCCCTGACACAAATCCACGCAAAAATCCTGGATGAGACATTGAAGATGGCAAATATCAGATGGCAAAGAATAAAGTATGGATTACAGATGACAGTTCAGTCTCCTGTATGCTACAAAAGGTCACTGAGAGAGACAAGGGGTTCCTTTTTTTCCAGTTGAAAGCATTTACTGATAATAGTTTATTCATCTAGGTTTCCATCAGCAAGAGTGCTTTATTCCACACTCACTCCTAGCACTGCTGTTGATCACCTACAGATATTTAGCTAGAGAATCTCACAGCACAGAGAAAAGATCCCTTTACATAAGCTTGTTATTTTCTGAGGTGTTAAGATTTCAAAGTAGCTTTTTCTATGTTGATGCTTGGATCTGAGATGCTAAGAGATGTCTGGTCAATTCACAGCAATGAATTAGCTTCAAAAGAGTTGGGTTAGCATCTCCCAAACACAACTTGGGAAAATTTCACCTGCAACAAGTAAGGGCTGCAAAAAGTTTACAGCTTCTGCCTCCTCCTCCTCCTCTTCCTCCTCCCTCTCTCAGGGACTTTCCTGTCAATGTATTAACTGAGGAAACTTTTTAAAAAATAAACATTTAAAAGAAGATACAATAAAATGTTAATTTAATTAATGCAACTGACTACATTAAACAGCAGTGGCCAAATGCATCAGGATATGGAGTGAGCTCTTGCAAATGACTGGAAACCCACTCCGTGTAGTGCTGTTCTAGCCGAAACAACTTCTGCAACATTAGAAAGTCATGACATGTGTCCTTTCCTTCATGTAAATAGTTAATGTAATTCAAATCTCTTTGAGATTAATGTGATAATATGAACTATACATCGCATATGCACAGAACCTAGACTGGTCTTTCCAACTTTTTAAAGTAAGAAACAAAAAGTTTAGGCGAGTTGTGGAAGAAGGAAATGGTTCTCACCAACTTTCCCCACCACCCTCTTGTGCATGTATCATTGTTTCTACTGCATACACTTGCTTCCTTTCAGCTAGTATGCAGAGAGGACAGGTAAGACATCAAAGGTGGTCTGTCCACAGTACAGCATGCTGAAGAGACAGGTCTTGGGAATGCTCAGCTGAAGTGTCCTTTCTTGCCAGACTGCCTGGAGGGTGGGGGTGGGAAAGCCACAGGACACAGTCGCCCTTTCCAATGCAAACCCAGCATTTCCTCCTAGCAATGCCTTTTAAAGAAGAATTTCTATTTTCCATCCTAGACAGATGGGTACTTCTAATCAGATGCTGACACCCTGCTCCCTCCCCAGACAGCCATCACTGAAGGAGGACAAGGGGGATGGGGAAAGAGAGGAAGAAGAAAAGGGGCCAATGGGGAATGCAAAATACCACCTTCCAGCTTCAAGACAACCAAACCAAAGTCTGTTTTCACCAGTATGGTGAACATGTGCTTTGAATTGACTCTATGGCACCTCATGCTATGAGCCAAATTCCCAACTTTGATCTGTAGAAGTGGCTGAGTTGAATAGTTACTTTCAAAAACTACCTCTATATCTGGTTGTCTTTTTAAAAGTGTGTCAATATCACTTTGGTTGAGGAGAAAAGTTTCTTCTTTGACAGCTGTCAGTTAAACAGGCTTCCCATTTTTAATGAGTCTTAGATTTTCCCACCTCCCTCACTACCCCTCCCACCACCACCACCAGCACCTCCACCCTCCCCATTCCCTATAGATGTCTCTAAGATACACTAGAGCATCGAATGCTAGGGGAGCCCATCTGTGTGAGGACCTTATCCAGCCACTGGAGAGGACCATTCAGATGTAGCTCAATCCAACAGGGGGTGCTGGTCACAGTCTGTCTCCTGTAAGAATAAAGGAAGGGACAAAGAAAGAGACTTTCAAAACTGAACATATCCAAGGGTCTCATCACAGTCCAAACATTCTTTTCTGCTTAGGTGACAGCCTTCTACAAGAATCCAGTCTTACCACACTTTGGACTCTGCTCTGGAGGGAGACGCCAATGAAACAGGCTGAACTCCTCCAAAATGAACTGGGGGTTGGGAGGGGGAGGGGTGCAAGAAGGGAAGTTCTATTTGCTAAACTAATAACTCTCAGCAAACAGCAGAGCTGAAAGTTATATTCACCAAGAGGATAAATTCCCAAGTACCCAATAATCTCTGCAGTTTCCAACTGATGGGTTCCCACATCTCTGAATCACCCCCAAACCTGGATTTAAGACCGAGGGGGATATTGAGGTTACATCCATCTATCTGATCCAAGTATTTCATTGTCATTAGAACAAACTGCCCATCAATCCTAAAACTTGCACTCAAGTTCCCTACCGCACTGAAACAATTCATGTCTACTGCATTATTTTGGAAATTCTTACAAGGACTAAAGAAGAGAAAGCCATGGAACAATTACTGGAAAAAATCAAGGCACGCCACACATTTCTTTTCCCCAAAGCACTTTCTCAATTGGTGCCGAGAGATGACGCTGCTCTGAGGCAGGCGCCAAAAGGCTTCCTCTGAGCTATAGCTGTTTGTTAGGGATTAATGTGGTTGCCAACTAAAGGTGAGAAGACTAGGAATTCGAGCCTTCAGTTGCCTAAGTAAGAGAAGAGTTGTAACCTAATTCTCTTCTTGGCATGTCTACAGTAGGAGAGCAGGATTGTTCTGGGAAGGAGCCACACCCTCAGTCCCGTTAGGTAGACTAAACGGAGTTGGCAGTTGGTGGTGATGGGGTGTGTGTACATGTGCCTGTAGGGATGGGTGTGCTGGCACTGTCCTCTGTGTACTAATATGGTACCTTTTAGGGCAGGGCTTTCGCCTTACAGAGCCTTTCCCAAGTACACTGGGTTAAAAGGTAGCAACGTAGCACCAACCCCTGCAAGGATTCCCCCTTGGAGGCACCATTTTTCTCTCTTAGTGTCAAGCTCTGACCAAGTAGAATAGTCTGAAGAAGAACAAAGATCATCAACATCCCCTGTCCATCCCCTGAAGTCAAGCTCAGTTGAGTCTGGTCAGCAGCTGCAGACACAAGAAAGATAGCTGAACTTGAACTGGTCATTTTCTAGCCTTGTGTTATTTTTCTACCTTGCTTATTACCCCTCGTCCACATCTCCAACTCCATCTCACCTTCCACATAATGTTTCTAACTTCTATCTTTATCCCTACAATCCAAACTTCTGGCAGTACATTGGCTGATGGGTTTCACCTTGGTTAATTCCCCATCTTGGGCTACTTTTTAAACAGATCTTTGGGTATTTTGCTAGAAAAGGAGTTAGCCCATGGAATGGCCAAGAGAAAAGCTCACAAGATCTAGACACCTTGGTTGTCTGAATGGTCAATTATCTCCCATCTTAGTTTACAGAGGGACCCCAGGAATCTAACATTATTCACAATAGTCAGTTCCTCGCATAAGCCACGGTTCTGTGCTCCAGGCCACTGGGGAAAAGAAAGGAACCAGCAGCTAAGGTACGGTAAACTCGGTAAACTCGAGATGAGGGGTTTTACTGACTAAAATACTCTAATGAGAATCTAACTTTCCATAAGTCATGCTCATCTGGATTTCATTATAAGCTGTGGCCTTGAGCCAATAATGAAATGGGTTTGGCTAGGGTGCAGAATGACTGCAAAACAAAATGGACTCCAAACATCTGGAAAAATGAAGAGAAGCAGAAGAATGACTTGTGAGGCACTGGCTCACAAAGCTGATGCTTTGGTCCCTCTGCTGTGTACTCTAGAGTTGGGGACTGGAAGGAGGAGGATGGGGAGCATAAAGAATGGGGGAAGAGCTCTGCATATCTGGGAATGCCTGTTTATGTGCTTTTTTAAAAAGATGAATTTTAGGGTCTAAACCTGAATAATCTATGGATCTATGAGAAACTGAAAGCAATAGACTGCACACAAAAGTGACATTAACAGGCTTCTTGTCTGGGTTACCCTCACAGCAACCGTAAGAAGCATGCAGTTCCTAAGCAGTTTTATTTCTCCCTTTGCAAATGCTAAGCCCACCTTCTCATTACCCCTGCTTCTCATTTTTCACATCCTTCTAAGGGCCAAGGATTATCCTCCTGATTCTAGTATAGAGGGGCTGGGCAAGGGAAGGTGAGAGAAACACAGAACTTGTTGGTGAGAGGCAATTTTAAACCATTTTGGTCAAAATGTTGCATAAGGGGAAAGAACAACTAGGCTGAGAATCAGGAGGTCTCAACTCTGGTACCACTATCTTCATGACCTTGGACAAATGCCTTCCTCTCTCAGGGTGCCTGTTTCTTTATCAATAAAGTGAAGGGTAATGTATGAGGTGATTTTCTTAAGGCCCGCACCAACCCTAACATTCTAGAATTTTATAATTCCCCTTTGGAGATGGTGCAAACTTGGAAGGTAAAGCCCCAAACTAAAGGAAGACCTGACCTGTATTCAGCTCCCCAGCCTTTGACAAAGCTCATGCGAATGGTGCACATCCGAGTCAGCTGGTAAACGGCCTCAAAACCCTGATTGACAGACTGAGCCAGCAAGGCAGCAAACTCCTGGTTATTGAATATCTTCAGATTGCATCCTGCCAATAAAACCAAAATGTTATCTCTTTTACGTAAATCAAGAGAGTTTGGGCTAAATCTTCCCTACCAGGTAAAGTTTAGGACATCCAGAGTAGCAAAGAATATTGGGCCTGGGGTCAAAAAGACCTGAGTTCAGATCTAGCTGCCTCAGACACTAGCTGTGGGTGACACAGGGCAAATCATTTAAACCTTCTGTCTGCCTCAGTTTCCTCAATTATAAAATGGAGATAATAATTAGCACCTCATGTGGTTGTGAGGATCAGATGAGATGCTATATGTAAAAAGGCACTTAGTACAATGCTGGCACATGGTAGGTACTACAGACACACTTAAATCTCCACAAAGTTTTTATTGAAAAGTTGTTACATGATCAGTCTTATTTTTGATTGTGTGTGATGGGATATGGGTGCTATGAGAAATATAAAATATAGGCCCTGCCCTCAAGGATCTGACATTCTATTTAAGGAGACAAGCTACACATAGAAAACAATTAAAGAATACATGTGTATGCAATTAAGGTGGTAAGTTGCATGGTAGAAAGTACTGTAAGGGTTCAGAGGAGGGAAAGCTCATAATGGGCTGAAATGGTCAAAAGAGGTTCTATATGGAAGAAGTAGGCCTAATCTCTGATTGGGATTTTCATCAGTACAGGCAAAGGGGAGGAGGAGGGAGAGGCATCCAGGATAATAAAATCATGATGACGAGTTCCTCTTCTGCAGAAGACAAAAACTTTATTGTTGGTCTACAGATCCCCTGCAATATTCCATATTTCTAAGTTCAAATCTGGTCTCAGACACGTACTAGCTGTGTGACCCTGGGCAAGTCACTTCACTCTGTTTGCCTCAGTGTCCTTGTGTATGAAATAAGCTGGAGAAGAAAAGGCAGACCATGCTAGCATCTTTACGAAGAAAACCCCAAATGGGGTCACGAAGAGTCAGACCCAACTGAATAACCAGTGAGATAAGGGGATGAGCTTAAGATGGAAGGGGCATCTTAAAAGTTGAATCAAATGTCCTCTAAAGTCCTTTCCAGGTGCCACTAGATTGGTGGCTCCTTGAGGACAGGGCCTGTCTTTTGCCCCTAATTGTATCCCCAGTGCTTAGCACAGTGCCTGGCACATAGCAGGCTCTTAATGTTTACTGACTGATAAATAAACCCACGACCCTCTGATATTCACTTTTGGCTGAGAAGGCCAAAGAAAGCTTCAGCAGAAGACGCAACACTTTGTATGGCTAGGAGAGTGTGGGTAGAGGTAACCCAGAGAATGAAACAGGGAGACTGGAAAATAGGAAGCATTTTTTTTTAAAGGGCCAGGATGATAGTTTGAATTCAAGTGGGCACATGAGTCACTGGAAGATTGGTGACTTAATTAAACTTTACACAAACTCAGGAACAACCAGCCCTTTACCTAGTTTCTTAGGCTTACTGTGCTGACAAGGGAGCCCCAGAATTTCTCTGCCCTCACAATAGACAGGCAGAGAAGTGCGTAATTACGCTGGAACACCTCAACACAAGGGGATAGGAACAGTAGATAAAAGTGAGCACAGCAACTGGGCTTTGTCATCGCTTTAGACGACAAACCGAAGCACGTAACAGAACCAAATTTCATGCTGATTTAAGGGGTGTATAAGTAGTAGAGGGAAAGTGAAGTTTGATGCATCGATAACTAGGAGATTTTATGCTGCCAGCAGGGAAGGCAGGCTCTGTTCATATGCAAACTAAAATGGTAACACGGCTCCAAATTAACAAAGGGAGAAACCTGGCAGATGGGCTGCTAGTAGCTTCTGTTTCTATACAGCAAGCTAGAAACCCTCTAGAAGTTTGCCAGATACTGGCACCAAGAGAGCAGGGATGACGGTACAGGGTGAGGGAAAAGGGGTGTGTGTGTGTGTGTGTGTGTGTGTGTGTGTGTGTGTGTGTGTAATTCTTTAGTTAACTGAAGAAGTGCATTTAATTAATTTGCCAAAGAATGAAAGACCTCTAAAAAAGTGGGCTCAACGATGCAGTCAGAAAGGCTGAGCAAGGGGGAAGGGGAGAACTACCACCAACAGAACCCCTTTTTACTGAAATAGTCCTTTTTTTAGGTATCAGGAATATGTAAACCAGAGAAAGAAAAACGAATGGTAGAAATCCCAAAGGGTGAGAAGCAATGTTGTCAGACAGAACACACCAACCTTTCATCTACCAACCAACAGCGTTAAAAGCCCTGCAGTCCACACTTCCCCCACTCCTCTTCAAGGGGAAAATAACAACAACAAACAGAAGAATTGATCAAAAACTGAAAAAGTTCAAAAGAAAAGAGATCTAGGAGCTCTGAGTTGGAAGTACCTGACAGGCCATCTACCAGACCAAGAATGCCTCTCTACCTTTTCCCTGATGGGGTGGGGGGAGTTTTTATAGGGGGTGAAGAAGGGACAGGGAAGCCACTGCTTCCAATACAATCCACTCTACTTTGTGAAAGCCTGTCCTTTAGGAAGTCTGTCCTTACAGTGATCTGAAGTCGGTACCTCTGTTGTTCAGTCATCTTTCAGATACTAGAGAGGTCTGCCATTTCCTTCTCTGGCTCATTTTACAGATGAGGAAACTGAGGCAAACAGGGTGAAATGACTTGCTGAGGGTCACAGAGTTAGTGAGTGTCTAAGACTGGATTTGAACTCAGGTCTTCCTGAGTCCAGGTCTGGCCCTCTATCCACTGTGCCACCTAGTTGCCCCTGGTACCTCTACAACTTCTGGTTTTGTCCCCTCACTTCTGTTCCTGCAGTTGCCACTAGTGCCACCCCCAAATTCCATGTCATTCTCAAATTTGCACTGCAGGCATTGTTCCTACTTGCCTGTTTTCTGGGACTCCTGACTTATTTCTTTCTCTGCAAATCTGCTAACACCAGTACAAAAGGGTACTGGTATTAAAAATGCATGCCACAAACTGAAAATCAGACACCACAGGCTGTGAATGAGGGAGACACATGGTAGAGGGCTGGGTTCAGAGGCAAAGGAACCCAGTTCAAATTCAGCCTTTGCCACTTCACTATCTTTGTGATCTTGGTCAAGGTAATTTCTCTGGGCCTCAGTTTCCTCATGTGTAAAACAAGGGGGTCAAATGAGATGCCCGTTAAGTACGCTTCCACGTCTATGTCAAGGCTCTTAGGCTCTTCAGCAACCAGCCTCAATCTCCCCTGAGTGACAACCTGGTTCTCATCCAGTGAGGTACCTGGCTAAGGGGATCTGACCAACAAAAGCCATATATGGTAAAACTCAATTTAAGCAGACTCCATATAGCCTGAACTGTCAGCAAACAGTAGTTCTTGAGCATCCCTTGGCCATGTGACACTGTGCTGGCCACTGTTCAAAGACAATTAGACATATGCCATTTCTGCCCCCAAGGAGCTCCATGAAAGCAACCAAGGAGACCCCGAGAAGGTGGAATCAATGAGAAGACAGCTGTGCACACAGTAAACACAGACTGAAAAGCAAAGACATGGACTCAGATATCTAGGGTTCTCAGAACAGGGGCAAGGAGGCAGGGAAGGTGCCATGGGCTGGATTACCTGGCGGAATCTTGCAGACGGTTGCTGGGTGCCAGCCATAGCGCTGGTTACAGTTGGGGGACTGGACAAAAATGGCGCTGTCACTGAGGCACTCTGCAAAGACCTCCCCTCCGATGTAATAGAGCCGCACTCCTCTCCCTACGGAACAAACACCAATGGAAATGGTGAGGCTCCCCAGCACCAGAGTTCAGCGTCCAAAGCACAGCCACCGCCCTCTGTGTCAGTCTGCAAGACAAACTGCATCATGAATGTTCACGCTCAGAGCAGCAAGCGTGTGCTTTCCCCACCTTCCTCGCCCCAACTCACATGGTCAATTCAAGGCCAACGGTGGCCTGAACACTTTACACCCCACCTCCCCGAATCTGAACAAAGCTCACAAAAACAGACCAGGCGAATGCCCTGGAAAGAGAGAATGATGAGAAACAATTGAAAACATGACTGAAAAGAATGGACGAGGTGACTTTTCCACAGCTATAACCCTATAACTTACACAACACCCTCGGAAAGGTTTCAAGCCAAAGGGAAGCTCAGTTCACAGAAGACGACCCACTCAGAAACAGGAATGGCTTTCTGGATATCTTGCCAAACTGGGCAGACCTTCCCCTACCTTCCTGGTTCTAACTCTTTGGCCTTTAGATAGTGACTACTGAATTTGATCACACATGCCTCTCTCCCAACCCCCCTGGAAACTTAAAACAAAAAAAACCCTTTCCATTAAAAAAAAAAACCCTTTCCATAGGCTTAACATACAATTTCCATCTTGTTTTAAATTCACCCCAGATGGACAATCTATTTTTAAACTTGTTTCAAATCCAGTTACATAAAGCCTCTAACATTCTCTCTTTCTCTCTCTGTGTCTCTATCTCCTGTAGGGAAGGGTCACTATTTGTATTCCTTCAGAAGAATAAGGAAGAGATCAGAGAAGTAAACCTTAGTCACATACTGGGGCACTGAGCGTATCAAAAATGAAGAAAGCTGGCATAAAGTAAGCTTCGTGTACTCATTCTGCCCTTCCCATTCTCACCACTCTCATTTTGTCATTTCTGTTGGAATGGCATCTAGAGGACATAGGAGATGCTGATGGGCACAACAGTACTGTCTGAGTTGAAAATAGGGAGCTAGAGAGGAATATGGGAATAGAGATGCTAAGGCCTAGAATCAAGTTGTTTCCCCCCCCCCTTAGAAATTGTGCTTTTTAAACATAACTCACATATTAAAATGTTTTCCCCAATTTGGCTTCTTTTCTGTCTGCCTTCATGTCTCTAAATATAACAGTAATTTTGCAAGCAAATCAAATTATACACATGCATGATACATTTTTATGTTCTCAACTATGTGACTATGTCTGTAAAGAGGCAAATCATCACAGATTTGCAGATGGAAAGGCCCTTAGAGGTCATCTAATCCAATCCCCTCATTTTACAGATGGGGAAACTGAGGGCCAGAGAAGTTAAGTGTCTTTCCCAAAAGTCACAAAATACAGAAAGTTTAAGAGCTAGGATTTATACCCAAGTTCTTTGACTCCAAATCTAAAATTCTTTCTGCTGCAACACCATGTGCATCACCTGCTGCTTAAAGAATAAATAAAAAAAACCCCACCATATTTCATACATTTACATTTTTTCACCATCATCTATTTTTTCCCCCAAGATAAGTTCATTTGTTTCTTGCCTTCAAAATTTCCAGAAATTTTTTATCTTTAGGTAGAAGTGTCTAGGAAAGGAAGGGAAAAGAGTAGGGGGAGAGGCAGAGACAACCATCAATGAGGGACTATCTCCAGAGAACAGGGGGCATGAGGCTGGAAATTTGGTCAGAGGAATTGCTGTTACTTATACTTTCTCAAGGAAGCAGCAATGACTTGGGCACTCACTTCCCACTGCTCCCCAGAAAACACCCCGTCTGCTCAAGCCTCCTGGGGACAGACAGCTCCAGCCTACTGTGGGAAGGGGCTCTTGGGAAGGCAGGCAGGGAACTGAAGAATGTGTTTACCAATGTGTCGTCTGGTGAGCTCCACGGCGGCGTTCCTGTTCACATTGGACAATAAACCCAGGCAGAAGCGCTCCGAGTTGGATGGGTCAGTGAAACCATCCACTGTCATGGAAGGCTGAGAGGCGTGGAAAGTCTCCCCCACCCTCTGGTTCAGCTCATAGTAGGAGATGGAGCACCAGAAGGCCGGCTCGCAGTATGTGACAGGCTGCAGATCTGCATAAGACACGAAAGGACACAAAGCAAGTCACTAGGCACTATGGCCACTATGAATGACTTTTAAAAAATGAGAAGACTTGTATAAAGTAATGGAGAGGGATGAAAGAAAAACAGTAATACTATGAAAATCATGATGATAATAACAAAATCTAGAGGGAAAAAAAGGAGTTTTTCAAAAGTTCAGAAAGGGATACAAAAATGGAATGATGTCGTAACTCTTATTAAGACTTCTTTTCCTTTAAACAAACTGTGAATATGTATTGGAAAGTTTATAAGTTCATGGACAGTCTGTTTTATTTTTGTTTGTATATTTGGCCTTTTTTCCCAATAGTTACTAAGTTTATGCTTAATTATGAAAGAAAGGAAGGAAGAAAAAGAAAGAAAGAAAGAAAACTGATAATTATTTGATAAACACTTGATAATCAGGAGACTGGGCTCCACCCCCAGTCCTATCACACACTTGCTATGCGACCTTGTATACACAACTCATTTAAAACACTCTGAGCCAGTTTCTTCATCTGTGAAATGCGAATAAAACTCATCTCATATGAATCATATATTGTTGTAAGGCTTCCCTATACTCTATCAATACCTTTCCTGATATTAAAGTTGCAAAGATCAAATAAGACAATATCAGAAGTTCTTTGAAAAATATAAAACATGCTACACATATAAGGTAATATTATGGGAAAAAATACTGATCTCATTTATCAGATAATTTTTCAGCCCACAAAGTCTCATGTGAAGTAGCTCCTGAGGTATACATAAAGGCAACAGGTTACTGGTTAATGGCACCAGTCACTTCAGAGAACTAGCCAGACTAATCACAGAGATTAAAGGTTTGTGCCATCCTTGCTGCAGGGAGATATAGTACACTCTGGTTGGTAAAATTGTGTAAATTTATTGTTAGTGTAAAATTATCCTAGCCCTTCTCAAAAATCAGCCTTCTAGTCATTCTTCCAAGGTACCCAAAAGTTATCCATACTCATTTCTTGCCCAAGAAGAAATTTAACTGCTCTGATGACTTTTTGCTAATGTAGTTCCACCCCACCTCAATTCACTTCTTCCCAAATATCATGTTAGATTCCCTAGATTCTTCAGAGCTCAGCTGAAGCATCACCACATGAAGCTGCTCCTGATCGCTAGTCACTAGTGTCTCCCCATGAAAAAAAAGCCTATTTCCCCACAGCTAGTGCCTTCTCTCCCTGTCTTGTATTTAACTACCTAGTTTTAAAAAAATATTATTTATGTGCTTATATAATACATACATGTTGTCTCACCCGATAGGATGTAAGTTCCTTGAGAACAGGGATTGTTTCATTTTTTTTTCATCTTTTTATCACAGTAGCTGGCATATAGAGTAGATGCCTTAACAAATGTCTATTGATGGATTGGCAATTGTGAAATGCTTGTTAACTGATCAATTGCTTCAGCCAGACAGGCCACAAGCAAGCAAACTATTTCCCCTTTAAGGTTTATTCATCTTGAACCTTCCACATGGATGGAATGTGCTCTCTCCTCCTCCCCCCAAATCAACTTACCCAAATCCAACCTATGCTGAAGATGCTGACTCAAATTTCACATTCACCATGAGAACTTTTCCATTTGCTCACCCCCTTAATGCCCTCCCCATTCTATGAACACTTGTAGCATGAACAGTCTGAACCATTCAACTATATCCTGCCTTAAATGGGACTGGAAGAATAATAGGAGGGAGCTGAAAGAAATCTTAGTGGTTAGTCTAATGCCTCCATTGTACAGTCAGGGAAACTGAAGCCCAGTCTCAACCCTACCAGAGGACTCAATTGAGTTCTGTGACTTACTTGCCCCAAATCATTTAACTTGTTTGCAGCAGAAGTGGTGGCTGGACAAGACCTCCTGAGATTCTTCTCTAATAAGAAAACGTTCTCTGGGAAAGCCTCATATCATTTCCTGTGTGTTTGCCATCACCCCACAATTGGTTCCTTGAAGACCTGGGCTACCCGTTACATTTCTTTTGAAGTGCTAACTGTTCAGCAGCATACCTACTGAATGAAAACTTTAAGTTCACTGAAGCTCAGAGCTGGGAAGACCTTCAGTGGTCACCTGGTCATTCCTGAGCAAAAATCCTCACTACAACCTCCCTGACAAACGGTGACCATCCACACCTTGAACAGAAGGAGGTCTCCAGGGAGGAGAAGCTCACTAGATTCCAAGGTTTCCCATTCTATTTTTGGAGAGCTCTCACTATTAAGAAGATTTTCCTTAAATTTGGTCTAAATATACATTTCCAAAACTTCCACTCACTGTTCCTAGTTTTATTCTATGGGGCCAATCAAAAACAAGTCCACTCCTTTTTTTCCCACTATAGCCCTTCAAATGCTTAAAGGCAACTAACACATCCACACCTTAATATTCTCAAGTTCCTTAATCTTCTCTTCGTTCCTTCAACTGATCCCCACATGATATAACTTTGAGGTCCTTCATCATACTTATCATCTTCCAACTTATCAATGGCCTTTGTAAAGTGTGGCACCCACAAATGAACACCATATCCCAAATGTGGTATGACTAGAGCAGGGTATGAAACTCTCACCTTCTTTATTCTGGACATCATACATCTCATAATACAGCCTCAGAGTACGTGCGTGCGTGCGTGCGTGCGTGTGTGTGTGTGTGTGTGTGTGTTGGAGGCTGCTTCCCTATCGGACTGCTGACTCATATGGATCTTTGAATCCACTAAAATGCCTACCATCTTTTTCACACCAACTGCTAAGCCCCCACCTCATACTTGTAAAGTTTTCTGAAATCAAATGTAGGACTTTACATCTATTCTTATTCAACTTCTTATTTAATTTGGACCAACACTCTCGCCCGTTTTTCTCCCTCTTCGGATACTGACTGGCATCCAATGTGTTAGCTATCCCTTGAAGCTTTGTGTCATTTGCATATTGTATAAGCCTGCCATCTGTGTCTTTATCCTAAACCATTGATAAAAATGTTCAACACCACAAGGCCAAAGACAGATGCCTGGGACATTCCTCTAAAGACTTCAGTCCAAGGTAACATGAACTGATTAACAACTACTCTTCACATCCAGTCATTTAGCAGTTCTAAATTCAGATAACTGTGTGGTCATTTGTCCTCTGACATTTCATCCTGTCCATAAGGATATTATGGCTTGATCAAATGCTTTGCTGAAACCTAGGTAAATTAGATGTGCGATAGATTTATTGTAAACCACCAACCTAAGGTCACTGCAAAATGTTATGTGCCATACACAGTGTTTTTCATAAAGGTTCTATGAAAAGTTTATTTTATCTTAAAATCATTTAGTTTCTCTGTATCAGGAGCTATAGCTCCTGATTCTGTGATAGTGGCCCAGCCACGAAAGAACGAGAGAATTTCACACTGGCTGAGACTCAGGTGCTTCAGGTCTTCTTCTCTGTGCCACCCCCCCCCCAGCACTTTAAAATCAGGTGTTCTTAACCTGGGGTTCCTTGCACTCCCAAGGGATCAATGGATAGATTTCAGAGGGTCTATACACTTGGATGGGGAACAGGATTACATCTTTTTCAACATAACTGATTTCCTTTGTAATCCCATGTATTTTATTTCATGCATTTAAAAACTTCTGAAAAGGAGTATATAACCTTCATCAGACTGAAAAAGTAAAAGCACTTTTACTCTGGGGAAAATAACCAGACTAGAACATAAGCCCTAACCTCCTTAAAAGCTTTAAAAAACCAAAAAGTTTGATTTGGAAAACATTCCAAACCAATTAGGGTCTTAGCAGATTTCAATGGCTACAACTTCATGGATTGCCAACTAAAGATGAACAATTTCATTCTAGCTCAATTGGTTGACTCCAATAAAGTCTGTGTACCTAAAATCTCATGACATGAGTGGGAAAAAGTATGTAAGAGTTAGGAAAAACCTGGGCTCTCAGTTTGGGACGTGCTGTTTCTCCTGATAAGAATGTAAGCTCCCTGAAGGCAGGAATTGTTTCATTTTTATTTTTGTATATTCAATACCTGTCGTAGTGCCTGGCACACAGTAAGTTTAATAAATTGCTTGCTGACTGATTCACTGGTTTTGATACTGACCATATATATAGTCCTGGGGATATCTGCTCTTTCCATGGCATCAATATGGAAAATATAAAGAGCCATCCTTGCGCCATTCCTATACCTTTTCAAGGATGGAGTAAGGTGACATAGTTGTGATATAAGATGGAGGTTCTCACCTTTTTCATGTCATGGACCCCTTTGGCAGTCTGGTGAAGGCTATATACTCCTTTTCAGAAGTTTTTAGATGTGTGAAATAAAATACATGGGATTACAAAGGAAATCAATTATCTTGAAGATGTAATCCTGTTCCCCAGCCAAGTTTATGGACCCTCAGAAATCTATCCATTGATCCCTTGGGAGTCCAAGGACCCCAGGTTAAGAACCCTTGATGTTAAATTAAGGCAGTCAGAATTCTGTGATGCTGCTCAGCGCTGGACTCCCTCCACTAGGAACAGTGGAGGCCCAAGGAGTGGGGACAGGCAGAGGTACTGGGGAAAGGAACTTGCCCTGTTAGCCCTTTGGGAAGGAGGAGGCAACAGCGACATCCTCTGGAACTTATACCTGGTGGTCTGGCTTTCAGGGAATGGACCTAGTTGGCTCTGTAGAGAGTATGCCAAACATGTTACTTGTTACTTAAGGATCATGACAAGATAAGCTACTTTGTAAGCCATGCCTTCACTGCATATTATATTGTTTTGAAATCTAATTAAAAATGGCTAGTGGCTAAGGGCTTTAATATACGCTTAATAAAAATGGCTATTCTGATGTTCAAAGTAGCCAAATTCCATGCAGAACAGACATCACGGAGAGCAGTGGGGAAGAAGGGGAATCCCCATTTCACCTGACTTGGTTCTCATCCTAGCTCTGCCTCTTACTAGGTATATGACCTAGAGCAAGCATTTCATCTCTCCAGGACTCAGTTTGCTAGTCATAAAAGAAAGGGATTGG